AAGATTTGCCAGTGTAATATCAAGTTTGTGTTCATATCCTTCCTTGTCTTGTTTTTTTCTGTTCCTCCACGTAATTGTAAATATTGAGGCTATGTTTCAATACATTTTCCAGTCTTGCAGGACCACGGCTCAGATCCTCTTTGTACTCTCCACTGGACTCTTTCTCCTCAGCAGATGCAGCAGATGCTTCGGACGCTCCCTGTTCTCTCATCGCTTCCCCGTATGAACTTAGTAGTAGATTAGGTTCATCACACTTGGTGAGAAGCGGAGCACGAGCAATAACATACAAGCTCACATTTCGTTTGTTCTTGCCTGTTCCCTTGCACAATCTTGCCGTTTTCACGCTCCGTTCGATCTCTTCCATTGTCGAAGGAAGCGGAGCATAGAAGTTCACATAAAAAAATCAGATCATCCCAACCCTGCTCAGTCGTTGGGTTCCAAAAATCTGTGCCGTTTGATATCTTATATAGGATATCATGAAGCCGTTCAAAGTGCATTGTATCAAGACAATCCGATTTTCCACATTCAATCAAGAACCTTTCAAACGCCTCAAGATCAATTGTTTTATTATTGTGCATAGAAGACATAAACAACTTAGCCTCTTGGCCTTCCACTAAATCTTGAGCAGTAAGATCATCTTTAGTGATTCAAGGTTGGCGTCTTGTAGGCATGGGAGCGTGAATAAGTTAATGTCTAGACAGGTACTTTCGTCACGGTGTCCAGGTTGATCAGTTCTGGTACTGCTTTCTCCTGTTGTTTCTCCGTTTGGCTGCTCACTCATCGATGGTTCATCGCCATTCGCATCACCATTATTACCATCATCACTATTATTGTACGATCATTCATCATCTTCGTCTAGTACATACTGGTTGAGCACACCAGGTGGAAGGCTGTCATGTGAGATTTCATCAGCATCGTTTCTGTTATGATTATCTTGAGCTCTATCGCCGTTGCCAGTACAAGGGTGCTTGCTCTTCAATCGTTTCTGTTGCCTCATGCTGCGGGATGATATATTTTGAGATAAAAGGGGAGTGCATCCCAGCATTCCGTGACGTGACCATGGTCGTGTGGACACAATGGACGAAGTTTCGATGCGATGGATCATGTGTTTCCAGTTTCAGCTATTTCAAATGAGTTGGATTTCCGTTGGACAATAAGTAGATTGAAATCGGCAGGACAAGCTATCATAAATAGGGTGACATGGATGTACTAAGTACTGCTATTTTTTTCAGAGGTTCGCAGAAAAACTTGAATTAACACTCCCTCTGAATGCGAACGCGCACAATTTTTATCCATCTTCATCCTTAAACGCAATGGTCTCAGTTCGACCCCTTTCACCGAATCAAATTGACTGGTAACATTCAATCTCAATTCAGCACATCCCAATTGACCGAGAAATGATATAGCCAGGAAATTCTGATTCTACGCAAATATGTCTAAGTGGGACTGTGGAGCGCTAGATTCTGTGTTGAATGCAGTACTTTGGGACATCTTGTATTATTCCCTACTGCATCGTACACATCATCGATATTCCACTTGTATAGGCTTTCCCTTTTTGTGTGGATACAGATTGTCCGGCTTGCGTCGAATCCCAACATGTCAAAAACTTTGTAATTGAAAAGTTTCTTTTGGAACGTAAAAACTCATATTTCGTCATATCCCAACATGGAAGAACTGATGTGACCATTCGGTGCAAATAATTTTAAATCCCAGACCCACAGAGAGACCGGCAAGTTCTTGCAGACCCGGTTATTGACACTCTTGGTCCAATATATACTGTAGGTATTACACACGCATATATTCATTCAGCCTCTGTCAGGATCGAGTTAGTCGTCTTACGACTTACTAGATCGTCTGTCCATATTCCGTTCCCAACTCACTCATCACATCACCATCTATTCACTCTATGAGTTTATGTTGACGATTAACAGTCGCATAGCCAGAGGTCTCAAGTTCGAGTCTTGACTACCCCTGAGTGTTCTTCTGCCCATACAATACTCAATATCCCAATTCCTTTCCAAAGGTCAGGAATGTCATGTAGGTCTGTGGAAAATCACAGCAGTGGCAATGTTCCCACGTATAGCCCCGAGAGCTACAGTATCACCTATAGGTATCAATGTCTAGTACGAACACCATCACTGAGGGGGATAGGTGCACGGTGGGAGGTCAGGATATTGATATATGGTAGAAGTGCTCGGCCGCGCGTGGGAGGCGCTTTTGCTTGTATGGTACACAGTTGACAGCCTCCGTTCTATTGCGTATTGTGTAGTTGTGACGATTGAAAGTACGTCCCCAGACCTTAGCTAGTTTTGACTTCTTCTACTACGACCAAAAATCCATGAACCAGGAGTCTCCTATCTTGTACAGCACAACCTTGTTGTGATTACAAATTGTGTTATTGCAACCTACAGTATCTTTTGGTTGTATCTATACTAGATTTCTGTATACTCTGAATTGCAAAGTTTGATGTGGAACGATCAGATTCAAGGAAATTCCTCCAAGTCAATTGAATTGTTGGAACTAGGTGAGAAAAAAAACAAGAACCAAACATCTCTTTTCCATCGCAGCACTGATCACCCACATTATGTCACTGTGGTTTGATCACTTCTACCTAGATACCCCCCATTCCAACCCCTCCAGGCATGATATATATACACCCATGGACAACAAATATGAGTTGGAAGAAAGAAGTTTGAAGAAAGCAGGCCGACAACTTGGCCAATACTGGTGTTCTAGCAGAACTTACCATTGTTGTCACCCCAATTAGGCCACTGTATGCTGGATCTAGGCCAAATCTATGCCTACGTCGCATACTGCTCAAAGCGTAAGGATGCCCCGCCATGGCGGTCGTGAGCGGCCATGGGGACTTCCTGAAAGATGGAAAATCTACAGAGACCACGATGAAAATCCCAAACACGCTTGGAACTACACACCTGGATAACATGTCAATGTCACCAACATCTGGGTCTCCTTCTCTGACTATGACAATGCATCCTTCGTTTTTATATTTGAACCTTGGAGAACTAGTACTCATAATTAATAAAGGGAGGGTCGTCATATAGGGCTCGTCCGTTATCCTTCAACACTACCCTTTTGAGAAATGGCTTTGTACTATTGGAGCTTGGATGGTGGGTGATAGTTAGAATGTGCTAGAGATCTGCTTCTGCCCAATCTGAGTTTGTCCAATAGTAGACACAGTACAGTAGTGTACATGGTACATGTACCTACACTCCTCTGTACTTAGCTTCGCGCGACACAACGGATATTGTGATTGATCCCGCGTTGTCGATTCATTGGCGCGGTGTGGT